CGAGGTGCCGGGCCGGCCGGCCGGGGCGGGCGTGCGGGGACTGAGCCCGGCCGCCCCCGCAGGACGCGCTCCGCCGGACGCCGCTCTATGACTTCCATCTCGCCCACGGTGGGAAGCTGGTGGCCTTCGCGGGCTGGCAGCTGCCGGTGCAGTACCGGGACAGCCACGTCCACTCCCACCTGCACACCCGCCGCCACTGCTCGCTCTTTGATGTGTCCCACATGCTGCAGGTGAGCCGGGCGCCGCCCGGGACGCCCCCGCCCGCAGCGCCGCCTCCGCCGCCACGGGGCTGTGCTGGGAACTGGGTCCAGGGCCGCCCTCAGAAGGGCTGCAGGCCTCGGGTGTCCCCGACGGGAAATCAACTCGGGGGCCTCGGCAGCCCGCCCCGCCCAGTGGGGGGGTCTGGATGCCCTGGGCTTTCCCGGCTGGCCCCCGTTTTTTAGCCACTGCCCCCGGTATTGGTTTGGGAAGGGAAAGGGGGTATTTGAGGAAGGTGCTGGGCCCTCCCCCATGGCACCCCCTCCTCTTTCGGGGGAATCAGACGTGGGGGACTTTGCCACCTGCAGAACCACAACGGGGCACTTGGGTGGGTTGGGCTGGCCCTGGACGGCAGGGGGGAGGCAGGGGGGACGCTCCTTGGCCAGTGGGCTTCCCGACTGGCAGTACCACCGTGTCCCCAGGCGTTTCTCCTCTACTTGCGTGTTTGTTTTCTTTTGTTTGTCCTGAGGCTTTTGATTTTTTTTCTCAGACCAAGATACATGGTCGTGACCGGGTGAAGCTGATGGAGAGTCTGGTGGTGGGAGATATTGCAGAGCTGAGGCCTAACCAGGTGGGCCCCTCTGGTCCTGCTCAGTGGGCGTACTTGGTCACCAGGCAGCACGTCCTCACCTGGGGCTTGGGGCGCAGTGAGGCGGTCTTGGGGGATGGAGCCCCTGAGTCATGTCCAACCCTCTCAGAGATGGGCCTGTCCCGCCCTGTCCTCCCCACATCAGGCTGGGAGGCCAGAAGCCCAGGCTCAGGTCCTGTTCTGTGACCTTCCGTGCGCCTAACCCCTCGCCGTTCATCCATCACCGAGGGGCTTGTGAGGGCTCCACTCTCAGCCCGGCGCAGGCCTTCTCTTCTGGCAGAGCCTGCGTTTAACAAGGTCCCGCGTGACTCTCCGCCTTGGCTCCCCCCACCCACCATGCGGGGCCGCGGCAGCCTCAGCACTTTGGGGTGCCGCTGCCGTGGAGCACGTGAGGTCACCAGGATGGACTTGGAGGCTTTCTGTCCCGGGTTTGGAGATGGACTGAGCTGTCCCGGGCTTGGGTGGGATAGAGCGGCAGGTCCCAGGTAGCACGGATTACGTGTGAGACGGGGCTCTCAGTACTGAGTGGGTAGGGGTGCAGAGGCCTTCCAGTTCAAGGAGGTCCCCAAGGTGAGGAGGGAGTGGAAATGTTCTCAGTGCATGAGGATCAAACACCCTGGGCTCACCCTGGCAGGTTTGGTTTAGTGGGTAGAGTGTTGGCCTGCGGACTGAAGGGTCCCGGGTTCGATTCCGGTCAAGGACACGCACCTAAGTTGCAGGCTCGATCCTCATCCCTTGTCGGGGTGTGTGTGGGAGGCAACCAATCGATGTTTCTCTTTCTCGCTCTCCCTTCCACTCTCTAAAAATCAATGGAAAAATATCCTCCATGAGGATTAACAACAAACAAACAAAAACACCCTGGGCTTGGGCAGCGGCCTGAGTGACCCAGCCTTGCTCCTTGCACACACACACCCCTGCCCTATGCTGAGGGTTCATGAATCTGTGGGGGCTGAGTGGGCCCCCGGGTGTGTCTCACACTTGACACTGGCCTTCCGGACCCGGATGCAAAGTGGCTCCACTCTGGTGCTAGGGGACCCTGTCGCTGTTCACCAACGAGGCCGGGGGCATCTTGGATGACTTGATTGTGACCAACACCTCGGAGGGACACCTGTATGTGGTGTCCAACGCTGGCTGCCGGGACAAGGACCTGGCCCTCATGCAGGTACAGCCCTGGGTTCTAGGTGCCCCGTCTTCCTTGTTCACAGAGCTGCCCAGGGCAGACCTGGCAGGGACCAGGGGCTCAGTCAGTACCTTTGAGGGAATGGGCAGAGGCCAGAGCGGGCCCTCCCTGGAGCATGCCAGGTGTCACTGGGCGGTGGGAGGGGAGCCGAGGCGGCCCCTAGGTGGGCACGCTCTGGTGAGGATGGAGGCCGGAGCTGGTGTTAGAGCCCGCAGACCCGGCGTGGGTCACACCTGCCACACACGACCTTGTGAGGTGAGAGCCGCCTACTCTCCCGAGCTTGGCGGTGCCAGGAAATGGCCCTGGAAGCCGACGTGGTGCTCCCGTCTTCCCGTCAGGACAAGGTCAGGGAGCTGCAGAGCAGGGGCAGCGACGTGGGCCTGGAGGTGGTGGACAATGCCCTGCTCGCCCTGCAAGGTGAGCAGCCAGCGGGGGGTTGGCGTGACCTTTGCCTCCTGGCTTCCTGGGCTGCCGAGCAGAGGCCGCAGCGGGTGTGTGTGTGTGTGGGGGGGGGGGGGGTGGAGGGCCGTGTGGGACTTGAGTGCATACGCTAAGCTGGGTGCATGCCCTCCCCCCGCCAGCCCCAGGGCTCAGGGGGCCTCTACTTCCACCTGCAGTGGAGACGGTGCTCAGGGCTCGTCTGGCCCCGGGCAAGGGCTGCCGTCCAGCTTTGGGGGCGTGGGGACCTGGGCGCTTAGTCACTGGCTCTCTGGGCCCAGGCCCCACTGCGGCCCAGGTGCTCCAGGCCGGCGTGGCGGACGACCTGAGGAAGCTGCCCTTCATGACCAGTGCCGTGATGGAGGTGTTTGGCGTGCCCAGCTGCCGCGTGACCCGCTGTGGCTACACAGGAGAGGATGGTGTGGAGGTGGGTCAGGGAGTGGGGGCAGGGCAGCGGTGGACTCGGGCCAACACCCACGGCCCCCTGGTGTCCACGCAGATCTCAGTGCCAGTGGCGGGGGCGGTCCGCCTGGCCACAGCTCTGCTGGGAAACCCCGAGGTGAAGCTGGCAGGGCTGGCGGCCCGGGACAGCCTGCGCCTGGAGGCGGGCCTCTGCCTCTACGGGAGCGACATCGATGAGCACACCACGCCCGTGGAAGGCAGCCTCGGCTGGACGTTGGGTGAGCTGGGCTGGCTCCGGGGCTGGGACCCTGAGGCTGCAGTGCCCGTAGAGACCAGCCAGCCTGGGACCACGCCCAGCGGGCAGCCTGCAGCCAGTGACCGCCTCCCAGAGCCTCCTTCCCTGACGGGGCCACTGTGGCTGCACCCGTTAGACGCCAGGGCCCCTCGCTTGGCAGGCTGAGGGCCAGCGTGGCCTCTAGGAGAGGGGCAGTGGTTGGGGGCTGGCTGACCACACGGCAGGGGATGAACAAAGCTCCTGGGGCCCTCGCGGCCGGGACTCTGTGGCTGAGGCCTGGTGTCCCGCTGCAGGGCGGCGGCGCCGGGCTGCCATGGACTTTCCTGGGGCCGCAGTCATCGTTCCTCAGCTGAAGGGCAAGGTGCAGCGGAGGCGCGTGGGGCTGACGTGCGAGGGGGCCCCGATGCGGCCACACAGCCCCATCCTGAGCGCGGAGGGCACTGTGATTGGTAGGTGGACCCGGGCGGCTGGAGCTCTGTCCCTTCCCGGGAGGTGGGGACACCGGCCTGTCAGGTGGTGCTGACAGGCGGTCTCTGCCCACAGGCGCCGTGACCAGCGGCTGCCCCTCGCCCTGCCTGAAGAAGAACGTGGCCATGGGCTACGTGCCCCCTGAGTACAGCCAGCCGGGCACCCTGCTCCTGGTGGAGGTGCGGCGGAAGCAGCAGGTGGCTGTGGTCAGCAAGATGCCCTTCGTGCCCACAAACTACTACACCCTGAAGTGAGGATGGCTGGGGGCTGGGGGCGGGGCCCTCCCCTGGAGGGCATTCTACAAGGGCTAGTCAGGAAGCTGAGGCAGGACACGTTGGTAGGTGGCAAGGGTGTAGGCTGGTTCTGGTTGTCTGGTTGTGGGCGGGACACACCACCTATACCCCCTCACCCTGTGCCACTTCAATTTCAAGACCGATTTCTTAGTGATGGACCAGCTCACCAAAGTCTTGTTTCTGCCCACGCTCCTGCGGGCCCATGCTTGCCTGCTGAGGGCTGAGAAGCATCAGTCCCCGCATTTCCTCTCTGCCGGGTGCTGCCTGTGCCTCAAAGGCTCACCTTTAGGAGGATCGAGCTGCCCAGCCTACCTCACAGGGTTCTCACACTTCCAAGGGCATGACCTTGGGCAGTGCCAGCCACCTCCTCTGGTTTACTTCCCATGAATGCAAACCGCTGCCTCTCCCTGGGCAGCACTGATTCCTGACTCGGAGGCTTAACTCAGGAGGGCTGCTGCGCCCGTGTGCAAACTCGGGGATGGCTGAGGGGCACAAGTTGGCCCAGCCTGCTGCCCAGCAGCAAGCCGGCCAGGCTCACCTCTGTTCTGAGCCCAGGGCTGCTGTAGGGCAGGCTGGGCCTCCTCCTCGGCTTGCCTTCCCCTGGCCTGACCTGTGCCCCTGTGGCCTGTTACTGGACGCCACTGACTCCTAAAAAATAAACGAGCTTCCTTCTTGCCAGAGTCTAGCTTCACTGTCCTTTGCCCACAGGGTTCCTGGGGTGCCAGCCCGCTGCTTGCTTCCTGGCCTCCGGGACAGGCTCAGGGGTGCCCCTAGAGAGGGGCAGGTCTATAAGGACTAACGGGATAGTGCCCGTGTTGGGCACCCCACACTACTTTACAGAGCTGGCATCAACCCCCCAACTTTGCAAGTCATTAAATTCTGGGTGCTGAGGGGCAACAGCCCTGGGGTATTCCCTCGATTCCCCTGCACGCACGCCCTTGTCCTGTCTGAGTAACCACACAGCTGATTCACTTCCATGTTTAATAGCCACGAACTCAGTTGAGCCTCGAGTGGAATGAGACCCCGACTCTGTGTGTGGTGGCGTCAGTGGGTCACCTGGGGCTGCCAGACCATCACCCCGCAGCAGACGGTGTCTCGGCAGTAAGCACCGGGCAGGAGCTCAGCACCCTGTGCAGGCGGTCAGGCACAGGCTGCCAGATGGCGATGTGACACCGACAGGGGGGCAGGCAGACGGCCCGGAGGCAGGTCTAGGCCACACTGCCTTCGGGAACTGGCCTTGCCGCCCATCCCTTTGGCAGGCCCCCTGGCTTACTTGGGAAGTGGCAGGCCTGCCTCGCCTGTGGCTCTGCCCTCTTAAAAGTTCTTGGGGCTGAGATGGCGCTAGTCGGGAGGACCTGAGCCCGAGAGCTGCTCTTAGGACGAAGCTCCTGTGGTTCCAGGTCAAGATGGGAGGTGATGAGGCTGCGGGCGGGGCTGCCCTGTGCTAACTGCTTAGGATCCCGAGGAGGGGCAGGGGACAGACCCACCACCCGGGGCGCTTAGCACTGAAGTGTTGGGGGTGGGAAGTCACCCTGGGGCTCAGCCTCTTCCAGGCACCCAGCTTCCCTCCAAGGACTGGGAGGAATATGAGGATGATGCTCAGGATGAGTTTCCATAGCCTGGCTCACACCTGGAGAGCTCTGGATGCGACCGGAAGCTGGGTGTTTGGTGCCTCCATGTCTGGATGGTGCCAGCTGCCCCCTGCCTTACTTATACTTGAATGGCCAACTGAGTACCCACAGAGTATAAGGCTGTGTCCAGGCCAAGATTCCTGGGTCCCTGCCAACACAGCAAAACCAAATTCAGAAAACCTATGGTTTAAGTGGAAACAGACTTCCCTTGCAAATCCCAGAGCGAGTCAACCTCAGGCTTCGTGAGGGACAAATCCCTGTGGGTCACCCCCAGGGGGATGGGAAGAGGGACAGGAAAAAGCCAGGAATGGGCTGCTGGCCTTCCTAACCCAGAGGCTTCTACACTGACCCGAGAGCAGCATGCCTGCTCCCCTTAAGGCACCAGATCAGGGGAGAGGAACCCTTTCCCGGCCCAGTGCCTGGGCTGCTGGAGGAAATGCCCAGGGCAGTGGGGGCTCAACTCCACAAGCACTGGGGTACTCCCTACCCCCCAACCCTGACGCCCCTGCAGTCATCCCTGGGGCCTGGGCAGCAGTAGGACCCAATGTGGGAGCCGGCAGACCCGGAGATGTCCCTGGAGACCCTCTGCTGCCTCCCTTATTCTCTGTGGGTTTTGAGAGGCTCGTTTGCTGCTGTCTCCCTGAAGGTGATGGAAAGAAGAGAGGGTTAGTCAGCCGGCAGCACAACAGTCCCTGATGTTGGTTTCTCCTGCTCCTGGGGCTGAGTGGAGCTCAGTAGAGCCACACCACAACCCAAACCTCTCTGAGCTCCCACAGCCCACCCTGGGCCCACCACCTTCCCCGACAGACCCATTCTCCCCCCTGGTCCCCACCTCAGGAGGGCACTTCCATCCTTCCCCGTTTGCCCGAGGAAAAAGCCTGGGCAGTGCAGGTCTCCTAACTGACCCCTTGCCCTCTCTAATTGGACCCCTTTATGTACTTGCCACAAAGCAGGCAGATGAAAAAGCAAATTAGATTAGCCATGGTCCCATGTGACTCAGTCCTTCAATAGCTCCCAAAAGTCTAGGCCAGGGGTGGGGACCCTTTCTCCTGCCCAGGGCCATACGGGCCATACAAAATTATCAACTTAAAAATTAGCCTGCTCTGCTTGGTCAAACACTTGATGTTCCCCACCCCTGGCCAGGGCTCTGCGGGTCCCTCCAGCATCACAGCCTTGTCTATTCCTCCAACATGTCACCTTGTTCTTGCCTCTGGGCCTATTTGAGCCATTGTCAGCCTTTGCCCTCAGCTTAAGTGTCTTTCTTAAGAGAAACCTCTAACCACCCCTGCACTGCTCCCCCACCCCCCTTCAAATCTCTGGCTCCCCTGTAAGCAGGGCCTGGGTTAACCTTGTTCTCTGGTCCCTGCCAGGTGGTGGGAGCCCAGAGATTAGCTGAAAGAATGCCCTGACGACTGGGCCCATGTTTCACAGATGAGCAGGTTGATCCTGATGAGGCAGTCAGTGCAGGAAGGACAGAGGCCCGGCCTTTCCAGCGGCGGGGCTTGCAGTGGAGTGCAGTGCCAGGCACTTGCCATTTCATCTCTGAAACTGTGAATGACACGGTCCACCCCACAGGGTGCTGAACAGCAAACTGATGACGGACTGTTCCGACATCCTGGCCACCTGAAACCTAAGCTCTACTGGCTGATCTCCGAGCTTCCGGCAAAGGCCACTAAGCTGGAGGACTCCTGCCCTGAGAACTCCCCTCCCCAGCCCCCAGCACAGGAGTGTCCCTCTGCCTGCCTAGCACGGGGTTGAGATGGGAACAGATTTACTCACCACGTAGGGAAATGCGTGGAGCCGTCGGGTGTGGATCCGTTCTGGCCGCCCAGACCTGGGGGCAGGAACACATCCAGAGCTGCCGCGGGCCGCGTTGGGGGTCTGAGCAGGCCTCAGCCCAGGCAGGTTAGAGGCTAGTGGCGTTTGGTGGAGGGTCTGGTGGGGGCCCTAAGGGACTAGTCTAGTGCATTGTCTGGTGAGGGCTCAAAAAAAGAGTTATAACGAGATGAGTGGATACTGGCGTTTCTTGGGTGAAATGGTATGTTGGCATGGGTCAGAGGACAGCGTTAAGTTGCGATACAATTCTTAGGGGACCAATGGTAGTCTAAGGGGGTTCTGGGGAGCCCAACGGTACATCCCGCTGGGTGTGAGGGCGGCCAGTCCACGGAGGTTGGCGGGGGGCCTCACCTGGGCGATGGTACAGCCCGGTCACCGTGCTCCCGTAGAACCCCCACGCCAGCTGGATGCACAGGAGGCTTAGCAACAACCACAGCAACAGCAGCTTGAAGAGGGTCACACGCATGTCCTGCGCCTCCCACTCCCGCAGGAACTCGCTGCCCAGGGCGCCCAGAGCGCCCAGCGCCGTGGCCGGCAGCGCCTGCAAGGACTGCCCGGACCAGGACTCCGCCATGACGGACCCGCGCCCCACCCGGAGGGCTGTCACCTTAGCCCCCACTGCGCAGGCGTCTGGTCTTCCGGGGCCAAGCCCGCTGGGCGCACGCGTAAACCAAGGCAGAACGAGCCCAACTCGCCTGCGCGCAGAGTTGGCAGTTTGGGAGGGGTAGCAGGGCCGCGCACGCGCACCAAGCACCGCCCCGCGCGCTTACAGGCCGGGTGACTCGGGGAGCACAAAATAGCAACCAGGTCTTTTATAGCCCCCGAGTTCCCGTGATGCCTCGCGCGGCTGCCATGATTGGTCCAGCGCCCGGCTGGGAGGGCGGGGACGCTCTCCCGAGCAATCGTGGCTCGGCTGGGAGCGCGCAGCGCGTGCGCGGGGCCACGACCGAGGCCAGGCCGACCCCGACGGGCACGCGGGGGCACCCACGTCGCTCCAGGCCCGCTCCTGTCCCTCTCTGTTACTTTGGTGCCCACGTGTCCAGTCTCATCCAGGTGCATCATATTTTGCTAGGAAAGAGTGTTCGTAGGCATCAGAGTATTTAGGGGGATCCTG